ATGAACTTTTTTATATATGTTAGAATATTTGAAATATATTTTCTGCGCTTGGAATTTTTACTTTGGATTATTATTTAAAACTACTTATTTGATGATACGTCGACATATAACATACACCTTTACTGATATATATATTATATAAGCTCATTTTGTTATATATATTTATATATATATATATATATATATATATATATATATTTATATATATATGGGTGGTCCTTAATATAAAATATGGTTTATTGCCCCAAGGGGCTTAAATGCTTCTTTAAAATTGATAAAAAAAAATCTCTAAAATTTTTAGCTCTTAATATTAACTTTTAGATAGTGCGTAATTCAATCAAAGCTTCGTATAAAAATAGCACGGAAAAAAATTCGAAAATTTAGTGTTTTTAGGTATAACTTAGCGACAAATGAATTAAAAGTGACAATTCTTGTCATCTTTTATTGAAAATTTGATGCTCTACAAAACAGGTTTTTTATAATATTTTTTGTAGCGCGTCGAATTTTGAATAAAACTCATTCATTTGTTCGCTAAGTTATATCTAAAAAACAATTTTAAAATTTTTGAAAATTTTTCCATGCTGTTTCCATATAAAACTTTGATTGAATCGCGCACTATCTAAAAGACAATATTCATTTGATAATATGTTGTTAGCTCTGCATAAACAATGTTTTTTGGTTTGTCTAATTTTTCAATAATAGTTTTACTTTACTTCATAATATTTTTGTTGTTTAAATGGTAAATTTGATATATTTTTATATCATTTTTTGTAGTTTTGTCCACTGAAGAAGAGTTAAATTGGGACTCGAAACGTATGGATGTCTATTGAAATTATTTTAACTAGTTGGTATTGGTTGTTGTATGAACTTCCCGATATGTGTAAATAATTGACTTAATCAATAATAAACAAATTAATTTATGAGTGATTAGAAGTATTCCGAGTGAATTTATTACACATAATTGAGAACGAATAAACACGTTAACTCGGAGTACTTTCTAGAAGCAAATTTTCGATTTTTATATTTGAACCAGTTTCCGTAGGAATCTAATGGTTTATTAATACCAAGGGGGCGTCCATTAATCACGTGAGGTTTTTAGGGGGAGGGGGGGTTTGACGAAAAATCACGAAATATCACGTGGGGGAGGGGGGGTATGGTAAGATATCACGTGTATTTATTTTTTAACTGATTTTTTTAAAAAAAATCTAACATTTTTAAAAAATAATCAAAAATTTTAGTTTTTTCACTTAACTAAAAATACACGTGATGTTTGGTGGGGGAGGGGGGGTAATTTTGAATATCACCACGTATCACCAAGGGGGAGGGGGGTCCAAAAATCCTTAAAAACTAGCTCACGTGATTAATGGACGCCCCCCAAGTACTCTAACGTTATACCAAGTAAATGGTTAAACCCGGTAGAATGAACTTAAAAGTGGACAAAAAGTTTAACACTCATTTTCAAATTACAAAGAAACAGTTCGGCAGATCGTCTCACAAAACTGACAAACTATAGGGCTCATTGAGATACATCAAATGGCTTTTAAATTTTTGAAATCGGTTCAGGCGTTTTTGAACAAAGGTCGATGAAAAGTCTAATTTTGACAAATACCAAAAAAACTTTGACAAATTTTTAAAGCTAAACAAGTTGTCGTAGGGCGGTAATATTTTAATATGATCTAGAAGACTATGATATCTACCGCAAAAAAAATTGTTGAAATTTTTTTTTTAAACTTTATTACAAGAAAACGTCCCGGCCGATCTCTACCAAAAACTAATCAGCATGATTCCCAACCAATATCTTTTGAACGGTTTTTGAATTTTTAAAATCGATTCAGAATTGCGAGCTAAAACGTGAACGAAAAAGTTTTCACTTTTCTGCGATTTACAAAGAAACGGCTCGGTTGATCGTCGCGCAAAATCGATAAACGCTAGTCCTTAACAAAATACATCGAATGGCTTTTAAATTTTTAAATTCGGTCCAGCCGACAAAAAATCTGTGCGTGCACACGCACACACACACACATACTTTTTCCAAATTTTGTCTCATTCGATTCAGAATGGCTTGAAACGTCGAGAAAACATAAAATTAGCGAATCGGATTTTTTTTATGAAAACATAAACTTCTGCTTCGTGAAGTTAAAAAAACATAATTCAGTGTTCTTATTATTTTTATTCGATGTCTGTTTAGGAAGTATTTTGCTTATATATAATATCAATCACTAAATTATGCAAATTTTAATTCATCAATAAAAAAATAAGAAGCTACATCAATCACACAAACGTATCAATAAAACCCTTATCATCGATTTCCTTTGTTGGAACGATTCATCATTTTGTACTGACGCGGCATTTGTTGAAATCCGTATAATGTCTTTCCTTTCAGATGCTATTTCGCACCGAAGAAAAATAGCTACAGCTTTTGATAAATGATTAAAGAAGCCACAGTATGGAACCGGTTTATGAGGAAAAAAAATTACATCTGTATTTGGTATAATTTTGTAATTATCGGATATTTGAAACAGCTTCGAATATGAGTATAATCATTTATTAATAATATAAATAATAATAATATACGAATATAGATTGGTAATATTTTTCTGACACAATACTCGTATATACAATGAAAACCTGTAATCCTTATTAATAAATATATGTAAATCAAGTAGTATTCTTAGTTCATTTGAACAATTACTGCCAAAGTATCTTTGGATTATTACTTTAAATTTAAAGTCTAAACGTTTTCATTTTAATAAAACGAGATTTTTTTCTATAGTGAACTAAGAATAATACTTGATTTACATATATTTATTAATAAGGATTACAGAAAAATATTATCAATCCATATTCGTACATTATTACGAGTAAACCCAATATTCTATTTGGCATTTGGTGTTAATATCAGTTCATAGTTTGGTGGGGAGTAATGTGGCAACTCGAGACAACCTTGATCAGCATTCATAAAAAGAATGCATTGTCAAGGCTTGTCGATCATATTTTAATACAGCTTTATATATTTCTTCAGTATAATTTTAACAAATAAATTTCAACGATATCACTTTGAAATCGCCAGTTTAATAATACTTTATCATTTAAATATTAATAATAGCTAACATTATTAATAATATAACAATAAAGATTGACAAAAACATGCGATCTTCTTTTTTAGATCAGTTATTTGACCAAATGTCGCCGCCATTTTCCCACAATTGTATTTATTGTGCTTAGATAATTTAAAATTTATAGAATTTTTAATTGTATAACCATTTGATAATGGATGTAAAATATTGAGTCTTAAATTATTTTCATTTATCTGAACAAAAATTTAATATATTAATATTTTAGTTTGTGAGAAGCCTATAAATGCACAGTACAGAGACTTTTATTCGCAAATATAATTTTGTAGATATAAATTTAATTTGATTGATAAATTATGGATTTTTTTAAATTTGTGTTTATTTTCTGATCGCAATAAAAAACTCTCAGCTAATTCATCATTGTAGAAATGTATTTTTTTGCTATTTTTCAAAAATTGATAACCTTGTCTTCTAATCCCATGGGTGAAGTAAATTGGGAAGGCCAGGGGACAAACAAATCTAATGTCTTATTATAATTTTAAAATAATTTCACAAAATAATAGCTATATTATTCAACCAATGCAAAATATAAATTCCAAGAGTGCATTTTTCACAGAGATAACACTGTAAGTAACCTTGATATGGAATTTTTTTCAGAAATATTCACCAATAGAGTTGGACGTTTATTAAATGTATCCTTTGTAATTTTTTATTAACTTCATTTACTTTTGTATTTGCTATTTTCTATTTTTGTTAGGGTAAAGGTGTAGTTGGTCCTTTTTACCCTACCCTACTGTAAGATTTTATAAGATTATTTAAAAACAACTATTGAATATGACATTAAATTAATAATACATGTTATAAAACAATCAAATAACATATACTTAAAAATTATATTAAGACCTCGTAAACTAAACAACAGTGCTCACAACGAGAAAACTAACAACGAAGGAAAATAATTTGTTATTTCCAAACATTTCTGTTTTCTCCCGATAGCAACGTCGTAATGAACAAGGTGATGGCTTGGTTACACAAATTTGTCCCTGTTCTTTCAAATATTGTTAAAAAAATCATAACTTTAATGTTTTTTTGAGATATCGGTAGTGGACCTATAAGTCCCTTACTACCATGTATATGTGATATATAATATATAAATATAATATAAAATATATAATTTAATATATAATATATAATTATAATATTTAATCGTACACGCATATTTAGTTATTGATAAAAACTATTTTCTTATACAAAAATTTATTAATATAAAAAATAAACAATATTTGTTAGTGTATGTGCTCCAGTTTTCGTCTGGAGTAGTGTTCTAGTAAATAACACTGCGTTATGCTTGAAAAACTGTTAAATAACAGAACTTTGAGAAGACTAATCATTCCGAAATTAACACACTGACTAAAAGTGTTAAAAATATGTTGGGCAAACAGAGCTTGTTAAATTGTCACATGTACAGGCACGTAGCAAACCCATAAATAAAAAATATATAGTATTTAGTTTTGATATAGAAAAAAATTGTATACAATGACTTAATTTCGAGCAAACATTTTTTTTAAATTTTATATTATATGCCGCGACTACAAATTTTTTTTTTTGAATAGTGCTTGAATTATGTTATAGGTATATGATAATTCAGCCCTGTTTTCCTACTTTCGGCATTAATATGACAATCTCTAAAAAGGTCAACAAACGGTGACAGATGACTGATCGTGTCCAAGATTCTTCCTGCATCATGCGTTACTTGTTAAGCTCTCAAAGCGAAAATATTCAAATTTGGTTGTTAACTTGTTTCGCATGCAAATAATGCAATTATTGTTAATTTAAATAAAAATGAATTCGTATCAATTGAAATTACTAGTGATATTTATTTTACAATGCATGTTAGATATAAATTTCATAAATTGCGATTTATTTATGACGACACCACGAGAGGTGGAGGATTACAGTGTATTAAATGTGACAAAATATGATCCGAGTTTTCAAGGAAGAATTCTTTCGAGACGGAAGAGGTATCTTATATTTCCAGAAGGCAGTAATTTTGTGGTAAGTTTATATCGTATTTTAGGTGGAATTAAACTGTCAAAAGTGATAGCTAACTCGACTGTCTTTATATAAAAGTTAGTCCAGTATGAACTCACTTTTACTAAGAATAGACATTTGCAAATTAAATAAATAAATTGAAATTAATAATAATTAATAAAATAATATTTTTATATTTTATATCAAATATATGGATGCATATATAGTGATTTCGTAAACATTTTGTTCGAGATGATTATATAGACAAATAATAATTATGTATGCATTCTGATATCTGAAAAATGTTTCATGTTGCTTCATATTAATTTTTTTTCTGTCTACTATATATGCATTGAACTAAACACAGTAATTAGAATTTTTAATAGGTGTTCATCTAGTAATTAAAAATGGAACTAAATTATAACGTTTTTAAGAAATTTCCATACATTCTAAGTCCGAGTTTGACTTTTATTTAGTATATATAATTATTTAAACAAAATACAAAAGGTCTTTTTGTAAACGGTCAAATGGTCATTTTGTTAAAAATAATTTTATATTTATTTCGAAGTATTTAATTAAAATTAATATCCACAATGACAACTATGTTGACGAGATAGAATTGAAACTATTTTTTTGAAATATTATAAAAATTATTAACAACTGGACAGATGTCTGCAAAAAAACTTTTGTTTTCAATTATATATTATTAATTATTTCTGAAAAATTATTATATACTTGAGTATAATTCAAAACTATTTTAATTCGTAACTGCATCAGGTTTTTATAATCCAATAAGAGAAATTTAATACTGGTGATAAATTTGACAATAGATCCAATAATGTTTGCTTCAAAATTAAATTTTTTCTCAAGTTTAAAAATTATCATTAGCAAATTTTGTAGAAACATTTTTTATAGTGTACTACTTTGTACTAATAAGAATTATTGCTTTAATATCAAATTAGAAAAAAGCGATAAATGAAAGATGATAAAAGTTGATAAATTTGTCAATCCAATGAAGTTCCAAATTACTTTTTTTTCTCAAATATCAAAATTATGGATTGCAAACGATGCTATGGTCTTTTCTACAGAGTTCATCGTGTATATAATAAAAAACGTTTGGGACAACAAAGTTAGCACTTCTTATTATTAGAATAATAACTCCATATGATAAATAATGAATGGGAAAATACTGCCCTAGAACAGGTCGGAAAGCAAATTCGATTCAGAGAAGAAATAATGTGTTTCCATTTCTATTTCACACCGCAGTGCCCGAGATTGCCTTATTTTCAATTGGATTGAAATAATTTTAAATCTATATTTTCAAGTAAAAATGGAAATCACGCTGCCCGACGTCAGATTGCCAGATCAGAGGCTCGAACGCGCATCCACATGGGTCCGCGCGTTAGGTCGATAACCACGACCACGACAATCATTCCATATATATATATAAAATCAACCAACTCCATATATAACATCAAAATAAATTTTTTATATACCTACTTCTAATTTTTCAGATTACATTCGGCCATGTCAAAAAAATCATCACTAAATACCCCGACAATTGGAATCAGAACAATGAATTCGACATCGCCCACAAGTTACCCAGTGACCCCACATTTGTGAGAAGGATCACTTTTGGCCACAGGTTACCACGTCCTACAGCTCCTACAAAACCTCCAACAACTGAAATGCCTAAACCCATGATGCCTACTTGGGATAAGCCAATGTCTTGGGGACCTCCTCCAGCGTGGGATAAACCATCAGCTTGGGGTAAACCTCCAATGTGGGATAAACCGACTATGATGAAAGCAGCTATGAAGCCAATGATGTCACCTATGATGAAACCGATGATGTCTCCTATGATGAAACCGAAGGTTTGGTCTAGGGGAGGACGGGAGAGGAGAGATTTGTATGGAAACTTTGCTACAGTTTTAGGAAGGTAAATATTAAAAATTAGAAAAAATGACTGCATGTTGATAGAACAGAACATTGAATATCATTATATAAAAGTTTGAGTTTATTTGAACGTCATCTTGTATATTATTATCCATTTTGCTTTGCCCTTCCTTAGAAATACTTGATCTATTTGCAAGAAATATCATAACTCATAAAAAATACACACGGAATTATTAGGATTTATGGGCAATATGAAATACATTAGGATAACAATAATCTACCAAATGCAAAATAGCTTACACGTTGGGATGTTATTTAAAAAAGAAGTGAATTAGAAAAGTGATAAGGAAAAGTCAGAACATTTCAAGAAAGTATCAAGTTCTATTGTTGTTAAAACATAAGTACAAAAAATTGTTCGTAAATCTATTTTATTATTATTGAACATAAGGCAACAAACAATAGTATTTTGAGTAACGTTCATATAAACTAGTTCTGCAGTAGCTTAAAATAAATTAGACTGTCAAATACTAAAACTAAACTGTCTGATACTAAAACTAAATAGTATTTTAACAATTTATGGTTTATTTATTTAAATCAGGATGGGTTTAGATGGTAAAGCTTGTGTCTACCGAACGCTATGCGAAGTCAAACATTTGTTGGCTCCTAAAGGAACATCCTTGGCTCATGATGTAGTCAGAGCATTATTCACGTAAGAATTAATTGAATAATTAAATATACATTTTTAAAATTGAACCGAATCGGTATTTTATGTAGTCATCTAATTATCTTTTGTTTATTATTTCTTAAGGCTCTATACCCACAATGACATTGAAGAAGATGAAGATATTTCGGAAGTAAAAGGCTATCATGATGCATCAAAACATTTAGAATGCGACCAAGTTTATGGAGAAGGTTGCCCATTCTCAATATTGGCATTGTTGCTCTCTTATGATCCTAGAGCTAATTTGATATCATAAATATATATAAGTTTTAGGTTTAAATTACTATGCTATACGTACTATAATGTATAGGAAGTTCAAATTAGTTATAATCGGCGGCATCCGAGTCGAAAGGGTTAAGTTTATAATATGGATATCTATGACAATATTAAAATAATTGTAATTATATTCTAGTTAATATTATTATAATATAATATATACTATATAGGCTGCATTTCAATGTATTAATTAAATTAGGTAAGTATCATATTTCGGTACTCCGTATTGTGGAATGTAGTCTATATATATATTTAATTGTTAATTTATATAATGAACTATTATCTTTAGCTAAATTTATCTTTAGATAAATTATTTTAATGAATTTTTTTTTCTTCAGTTGTTTAAATATTTATATTCTTTTTACGAGACATTCTTCTGTTTTAGGTATTTTCGTAAACTAATTTTATATAATAAAAGTTATTTTTAATTGTTAAAATATTTTTAATGCTTGCAGTATGACTTTTTGAGAAGATACCCTATTATTTTTGCTTATATAAGTAAGTAAAAGTAAAAACTGTTATTCATCTCTTGATTTCTTAAGAATATCATACCTAATTTAAAAAAATCATAATAAACCAGAATTTTCGGGACTATCGAGATACGTTAAGGTTCATAATTTGTATATTAGTATGTAGAAATTTAAATATTAAGCTTTCATGATTAGTTTTTAATAATATTTTACACACTTAACTTTGCCCAAAAACACATATTATTTATTATTTATTCTTTTTATTTATAAACTTATTATACGTATGTTAGATATATGCTACGCATATATATCCCAATTATAATAAATAGATATGCATTTTCATATGTTTTTCGTTTGTTAGTTGGAATTTATTTTAGAACTGCTAATTAGTTCTACAGATTTAATATTGAAACGTACAAAATAAATATAAATTAATGTTTATTCTGCATTATTTTATTATTTAATAAACACAAATACACACACACTGACATTTACACTAAATTATTTTAGAATTGATGGATGTATTCCAATTTCTTTGCTCCCAGGTGCTCAAATGCTTTCAAATTGATAAAAAAAAATTATGAAAGTTTTAGCTTCCATTATTAACTTTAAGATAAACCGTACTCCATCCAAAAATTTTTGGTTTTTCTTCATAAATTTTTGTTGCAAATTATCTATTTATGATCAAAATAAGCAAATACAATGTTTATTCTCAAAATTTTGATTCAAGTTATAAAATTCTAAAAAATTTTTATTCATGTTATTTCCATAAGAAACTTTAACTTGAAGCAAAGAAATTCAAAAATATCTATATTAAGGACCATACTAATATAGTGATAGGTCATATCCTATTACGTTTATAATGAATTCATATTTTTGCTAGTTGTTGGGCTAGTTTTCAATTACTCTAGTACTTACATTCAGTGTTCAAAATAATTAAATTTTAGAAATTCTTCTCAGAAATCTATGAGAACAGTAGAAGTAGAACAGTAGTTTATTGTGTTTAAGACGCGTTTTTAGTCTGACTATGTTTCATTGATTAAACATATGTGTGCTTATCTTCTAATATGCTTTAAATATACAAATATTTGGTACATATTAAAAGTTATGTAGAAATCAACAGCAAAATGAGTTTGCATATTATAAAATATACTAGCATTATATAAGTTGGGTTTATGCAGCTTTCAGAATGCGAATAGCGTTTGCATAATTCCGCGAGCTAAAGTTCCCCTTGGAGTTTTCGCGTGTTCGAGATGTTCAGAAATCCCGCGAAGTAAACTATTGTTATTATATATTTATCGAAGTTTGTCAGGAAATAATTTCGAGCGACGACTACGCCGTTCTAGGATGAAAAGCTCGTATAACTTTAATTTATATTCCAGCGGTTAATTTCAGAAAAATCGTATTAGCTGCTCATGAAAATGTAAATTAGTTGTAAACCTATTTTATGATGATCCTCTTGCTGATATAGTATTCATGAGAAGCACTTTTAGTAGTTATAATTAGTTATTTCTCCACTAGCCAGATAACAAGTCTTAATATTTATATTTATCCATATATCCAAAATTGTGTAAAATAATGAGCAATAAAATTCTTATGATGATCTGAAGGTGCTATATATTAAAGACTTTAAAAAACAAAATCTATTAATCATCAATTCCAATTAGAATATCACTCCAATTTACTCGTTGCTCCGCAGTTACATATACCAGTATTAAAAAGACTTAAAAAAATTATGGTTAATTCACTTGATCCAGTAAAATTGTATCTACTAGTAAATACCCTCTGGGGTAACTATTATCTATAATTATATTTATTTATTGTCAATCAAAATATCTCATAGAGTGTAACTAATGTTCTGGTTGTTATTAATAAAAGAAATGAAAAAAGTAAGGATTTTTTTGATACAGATAAAAATACAAATCATAACAATAGCTTAAAGAACTATAAAGTTCTAATTAATTCTCAATTTTTTTTATTCACTGCTATATTTATATCTGAAAAGTTAAGGGAATTTAGTAAATTTGTTAATTTATAATTTGTAAACCGTAATTGCGACATTCTATACTATAGTGACATGTTGGGAAAAACAACTAATTAGTTAGTTAGTTATATTAATAATATTTTAATGATAATAATATACACTTTACAATTCTCCAAAATAATAGTAAGAATATATAAAATTTTAAATCTACTTACTTTATTAAGATCTATTGATTTAATAAAAAATGGTTAGTATATAACATATTTTTAAACTGTTTAGTATATATTTTAATTCTGCATTATTGAATATAGCATATTATATAGACAATAAAATTTTATTGCAAACATTAAATTTACTTGTACTCGTATATTGCTTGTTTAAGTGAATCAACATGTAAACTCAACATGTAAATTCAAGAATTATTATTATGTTTATTTGCTAAAAAAATTCTTATTAAATTCTTTCCACTAATTTTAAATCTTATGATACTGAAGAATCCACTTAATTTGTTTTCAATAAATATTTTTTATTAAATCTTCTCTCTCTAGGTGCTGTGACTATTGCATTTTTTTTTTAAGTACACGCTTTCTAAAGCATTCGTGCTTATTTATTGTCAATATTCTAATTATTGTTAATAATTTGAAAATGAGTTGGCAATCATTTTATAAAAATTTAAATAAGGCATATGAAATATAAACTTAATTGAGAATTTGTCAGAATTTAGGGACCGATTCTGCCGCATAACAGAAAAATGTTATGACAAGGCCATGTTACGCTCCAACTTCCATACATTATAATGCTACTGAATCATACTGAATACTGTCAAAATGTATTTGATGTGCATTCAGGCGTTTTACACATAAACTGCAACGTCACTCGTATGTTATGAAGCTGAGTCAGAAAGACCCTGTTATCTAAAATTATTTACCTGGCATTTCTGCGGTTTCTAGGTTAGGATATCTAATTGACAACCTGAGAAAAACGCCTCACTGCACAGAACCACATGGCTTTTATCAATATTTAGTAAGGAATAAAGGTCTTCATAACATGTTCCTGCCATAACATTGGTCTGTTATGCGGCCGAATCGGTCCATTAGTAAAAAGATTTTTTTTTTGTAAAATATTATATTTAATGTTTGTATGACTACTTTCAGCTTATTTTATTTCAGATGCAAACGTTGTTTAGCTACTAAAATTACTATAAAATAATTTTATTTTAACTCTTATTTTATGAATACTCTTAATAATAGTTTGAAATCGTCGCGCAAAACCAATTAACGCGAGTTTTTATCGAGTTTCATCAAATGGCTTTTGAATTATTGAAATCGGTGCAAATACTAATATCACCTTCAAAGAGTTTAAAAAAAAAATTGTTAAAGAGCCTCAAGAACTATTTGATCTAATTCAATTTGATCAATTCTAACAATAAGATCATAAATCATTCAATCCGAACGCTATGTTCTCTCAAAAACTGAGTTGCCATTTTTCCTTTTTATTGGCTGGACCTCTCAAAAACTAATACGCACGTCTCCCCATCAATAGGAATCGAATGCTTTTTGAATCATTCAAATTGGTTGATTCGTAACTCTAGAAATTGTAAATTTGACAAAAATTTGTATTCGCACATACACAAACACACATATTCATTTTTTGTAAGGTATGTTCAGCAAAAATGTTCAGAAAAACTCAAAAACTCAAACGTATAAAGATATGCAAAAAATATTATTTTCGATTTTTTGGCGTTTTGACCTAACTATGGGACGTTAAAGAATGCACGTAAAAACTAATTGTCTCATATACAAAAACCAAATGTTGGATAAAAATTTCAAATTTCCGCATAGCTCAAGAGTAATCATTACGAGGCTAATGTATTTTAAAAATGCAGGTACCGCATAATAGCATCTGTGCGCTAAAATCGCATCTAAAGTGCGAAATTTAACGATCAAATATAGTCAGAAGATAAGAAGCTTCGGTTAGTTTCTTAAGTATTTGTGAAGAACTAAGATGCATTCTAAAGTGTTTTATGGTCTACTAGTGGTGCTTTTTATAGACGAGGCATTAGCGATAAGGATTGGAGAAAAAGTTGAGAAAAACAAAGTGTTGGCGAGGAGAAAACGCTATGTTGTGTTTCCAGAGGGTTCGAGCTTTTCAGTAAGTTTTTATACAGTAATAATACATCATGTAAAACATACGCTAATTATCTTACCCATAAAAAGTTAAATTTATTATACTAGAGAATTATATAGAGATTTATCTTTTCGACACAGTGGCATTGAAAATTTGTAGGAGATATTAATATCTTATTATTGATCACGATCCATTGTATTTACTGCTATAACCTACGTTGCTTAAGAAGAAATTCTAGTGTAAAAATCGATTTTTTTATATATAATGAAGGCTAACTTTTCAAAAATATGTGTACAGGAGTATTTTAAAAATTTAAATTATTTTAGGAGATATCGCTGTTTGACCACGATAATCTACATATGTGTCTTTAAATATTATAAAAGTTTAACTTTTCAAGAA